TAAAACGCTGGCTTCAGCAGTCTAGGCTAATAGTGAGGTTGCCGGTTATGGGGTTCAAAGCTAAGATCGCCGATGTTGCAATATCTTTGGGAAAAGCACTTTACTGGAATTGTTTTATTTGCCTCGATTCTATCGGAGATGGACGTTAGATCAGGAGGCCCGTGCATCGCCTGTTTATTAATTTTACAGTGTTACAAAAGGCGTTAAACCATCACAATTTGGTACTTACCCCACCCCCCCTCCCCCCCTAAACGCCCTCTTTCAGCTTCGTCCATTTCTACTCTCTGGACACATCGTGATCATCTACCTCCCAGTGATTGATTCACCCTGACTCAAACAAACTACCCAAAATGATTTGTTTTATCGATGTCTGCCACTTGACACTAATCTCTGGAATCAGCGGAAAGATTAAAGTGTACAAATAAGGACAAGCATAGACCCTCTAGAACACGGCGTGTATATTTATATGTGTGTGTGTCTACGGGACCCTCTAGACATTGAACCTGTGAGAAGGTTTTTGTCGTAACTTTCCTGGATTAATTAAGCAAGGTCTGGAGCCGGAGACGCTGTTGTGACTACAACTACTGCCCATAAGCCGACCGTTCACGTCGTTGAATGCTGGCTTAGGCTTGGAAATCCTCTAGGGAAGTCTGTTGGATTTGTCTCAGGATACAGCCAAGGTCGGGAGTCTACAGGTAAATAAATAAAAAATAGTTTCAATTCTAGAAATTATGTTTTCTGGTAAACCAAATATAGTAATGTAAGTGTAGGTGACCAATTATACATATCGCTAATGTTCAGTAATAGATCTATACACCAGGTTTTTAAAATTACATTAATAACTAAATAGATACATTTAATAAAGAACCAAAGAAAAAAATACTTAAGCAAACAAACAAAAAGGCAAGCAAATAAACACATGAATGAATGAATAAATAAATAACTAAATAAATAACTAAATGAATTAATTAAATAATTAAAAATAAATAAATACATACATAAATAAATAAACTAATAAATACATAAATCTTCTCCTCATCCCGACTTTGTCAAAAGTAAGAAACAATCCTAGAAAATAAATGACTCGTGAGTCACGTCATTACACGTAGACACATTATGGAAATGAAGGAAACGGCTGTCTAAGCTTTAGCTGGAGATTGGGGAAGTCGAGGGAGGAGAGAGAGAGAGAGAGAGAGAGAGAGA